ATATATATATATATATATATATATATATATATATATATATATATATATATATATATATATATATATATATATATATCATATTAGCGGTATGACCACATATCAGGAAAAAAAGTGATAACCTTGCACTGAACACTAATGAACAACTTGCAACGCTACAGAAAGTTGACAAAAAGTTACCCGACCATCGAGGGAACAAACTGAAATGGTTCACACAATGGACACTTGAGCCACGATCACCTTTACGGCATTGAAAACAGATTGGTACAACATTCTCGAATAATCGATTACCGTTTGGCTTATCATAGCCTTAACGAATTATAAAGCATAGAGCATATTTATTGCTTTTGTTTACGCTGTGAATGGAGGATCAACAACAACAACAACAACAACAACGAAAGTGTTTCAAAAGTATCGATTATAAATTCATGACAATATGGAGGATTAAACCCTCAATGCATACTTACACGTTAACCCATAAATTGCACACAGGAACAAAATCACACGCAGACACACACGCACGCACACATAGACGCGCACATACGTACATATCTCTATCTGGGAAACGCACACACGCATTCGTCAAAAAGTAAAGACACGAATACGTAGAAATTGTCGAGATCAAACGAGAGTCAGATGTTCAAGGTAGTTGAAGGTGTCCTTGAAAAAGAGGTTTGCAGTTGGGAGAGAGAAGAGAGAGAGTGAGGAGAGGGAGGGAGGAGGGAGGGAGGGGGAGAGAGAGTGAGAGAGAGAGGAGGAGGAGAGGGAGAGAGGAGAGAGGGAGGAGAGAGAGGAGGGAGAGGGAGGAGAGGGGGAGGAGGGAGGAGGGAGGAGGGAGGGAGGGAGGGAGGAGGAGGGAGGGGAGGGAGGGAGGGAGAGGGAGAGGGAGGGAGGAGGAGAGGAGAGGAGAGGGAGGGAGATGAGAAAGAGAGAGGAGAGAGAGAGAGAGAGAGAGAGAGAGAGAGAGAGAGAGAGAGAGAGAGAGAGAGAGAGAGAGAGAGAAGAGAGAGAGAATGAGAGAATGAGAGAAGAGAAGAGAGAGAGAGAGAGAGAAAGAGAGAAAGAGAAAGAGAAAGAGAAGAGAAAGAGAAAGAGAAAGAGAGAAAGAGAAAGAGAAGAGAAGAGAGAGAGAGAAGAGAGAGAGAGAGAGAGAGAGAGAGAGAGAGAGAGAGAGAGAGAGAGAGAGAGAGAGAGAGAGAGAGAGAGAAACAGAAAGAGAGAGAGAGAGAGAGAGAGAGAGAGAGGGAGAGAGATAGATGTGAGAGAAGAGAGAGATGGAAAAGGAGACAGGAAGTGGGAGAAGAAGCAAAAAAAAAAAAAAATAAAGGGGAA